TTTACAAATACAAAATCTTTTTCTAAAAAAATACTGGTTATATTATTTTATAATATGTGAGAAAATCCCCACATATTTTGGTGACCCCGACGTGATTGGAATAAAATACATTATATTGCCACCACATATTTTGGTGACCCCGACAAGTGACTACGCCTGTGCAAACACAAGACAACGATTTCTACGAATTTATAAAACCAGAAATTAAAAACTAAGATGAAGAATATAGAAGAAAGAAATAACATAACATGAATTGGAATGAAAACCAAATAAATTAAATTAAATAAAAAGGAATTTAAGGAACAAATTTCAAGATCGCAATCAAAAACTCAAGATCAAAATTTAGAAGATTGCCTTTATAATTTAAATTTCTTACAATTGGCAGTGGAATCGGTAAGTGCGTTACAGATACTTTCCTTCCCAAAAACAACAAGTTAGCAAATTATATTTCAAAATTACTTCCTTTTTGCTAATCTCAATTTTGTATTTCGCGAATAACAAATGATAAGTCCAAGTATCATTTGGTGGTTGCAAATTTGCCTTTTGAAATCATTTCGAATATTTATGACATTATCTCTTCACCTCCTGATAAAGATATGTACAACACAATTAAAACAGCTTTAATTTCTCGACTATCATTCAGTGAAGAAAAGAGACTTGATGAACTGTTATCAGGTGCAGAGATGGGTAACCAAAAACCATCTGATTTTTATCGAGGTATGTTGAGTACCGTTGGCGGAACACAAATGAAATGAAAATCAATCGTCTTCTTCACTTTGTTATTATCACTACAGATTCAAAGATAAAGCGTTGAAATGTCAAGGTCCTTGGTGCGACTCTTATCAAAATTTTAATAACCGAAATTCAAATATCAATTTCTCAAACAACACATAAGGGTTTCAACATTTTATAATTCAAAATTTAATAACAATTTTTCACAAAATAATAGCTCTTCTCGTTTATTTATTTATGATCTCTACAATAAATTACATTTTTTAATTGATACGGGAGCTGATATTTCGGTCATACCTCGTAACATTTTTTCGGATTATCATAAAGATAATTCTTCTCTGACAGCTGCAAACGGTACTACTATCTCTACTTATGGTAAAAAGATGCTAACAATTACTTTAAATTTAAGAAGGAATTTTCCTTTTGTCTTTACCATTGCAGATGTCAGTAAACCGATTATAGGTGCTGATTTTTTATTTAAATTTAGTATTCTAGTAGATATTAAAAATCATAGATTAATTGATACTACTACTACTTTAACCACAAAAGGTTCATTAATTAATACTGATATTTCTCCACTAAATATGATATTTAATGTTGAAACCCAATATACAAAACTTTTTAAAAAATTTCCAAACTTGTTTTCCACTCCCAACTTTTCCCTTCCAGTAAAACATTCTGTTCGCCATCAAATTATTACAAATGATCATTTACCTTTTTGTCGTCCACGACGTTTAGACCAAATAAAGTATAACATTGCAAAGACTGAATTTGAACAAATGGTAAATTTAGGGATTTGTAGACCTTCCTCATCTTTTTTTAATAATAATGTGGGCAATAAACCTCGGGCAGGTCGCCCTTCGAAGTTAAACTCACGAGACAAACGAAATATTATTCGTAAAGTATTAAAAGAACTAACTTTGAGTGGTCCAATATTGGCGGCAGAGGTGTCGAAAGAAACAGGAAAGGATATCCACCTAGAATGTATTCGTCGGCTGTTACGGAAGCAAAGTTTTAATGGAAGACAAATGCGGAAAAAGCCGTTTATCAATCCAATAAACCAGAAGAAACGCGTGGAATTTGCTCAAGAACATATTGACAAACCTGTGGAATTTTGGAACACCGTATTATTTAGTGATGAATCTAAATTTAATATTTTTGGATCGGATGGACGGGGTAAAGTATGGAGAAAACCGAATACCGAGTTCAAACTCGAGCATCTCTTACCTACGGTAAAACACGGTGGTGGATCAATTATGGTTTCGGGATGCATGGCGGCGGCTGGGGTAGGGAATTTGGTTTTTATTGATGGAATTATGGACCGTTTTTATTATCTTAACATATTGAAGGAAAATTTGCGTGCCAGCGTTGATAAACTAAATCTAGGAAGGATATGGATATTTCAGCAGGATAATAATCCTAAACATTCAGCGAAGATAGTTAAGGAATGGCTGTTGTATAATGTTCCAAAGCAATTAAATTTCCCACCTCAGTCCCCTNAATATTGGCGGCAGAGGTGTCGAAAGAAACAGGAAAGGATATCCACCCAGAATGTATTCGTCGGCTGTTACGGAAGCAAGGTTTTAATGGAAGACAAATGCGGAAAAAGCCGTTTATCAATCCAATAAACCAGAAGAAACGCGTGGAATTTGCTCAAGAACATATTGACAAACCTATGGAATTTTGGAATATCGTATTATTTAGCGATGAATCTAAATTTAATATTTTTGGATCGGATGGACGGGATAAAGTATGGAGAAAACCGAAAACTGAGTTCAAACTCGAGCATCTCTTACCTACGGTGAAACACGGTGGTAGATCAATTATGGTTTGGGGATGCATGGCGGCGGCTGGGGTAGGGAATTTGGTTTTTATTGATGGAATTATGGACCGTTTTTATTATCTTAACATATTGAAGGAAAATTTGCGTGCCAGCGTTGATAAAGTAAATCTAGGAAGGATATGGATATTTCAGCATGATAATGATCCTAAACATTCAGCGAAGATAGTAAGGAATGGCTGTTGTATAATGTTCCAAAGCAATTAAATTCCTCACTTCAGCCCCCTGACCTAAATCTCATAGAACATTTTGTCACGCCTCAATTCACAATCGTTTCCAAAATCTGATAAGTTACCACAATTACCCTTTTCAACCGCCCTAGTTTACCGATGTTGTCGCGAGATCCTAGCCTGCTCAGTGAAGACGGGGTGGATTTAATTTTTAAGGCGCCACACCACTTATTTCCCGCGGCACCCACTAGTGGTGAAGTGAAGATGGTAATTTTAATAGGTTTAAGGTAGGTTGAAAAACACACACAAATTACACCAAAAACAATTTAAATGTAAGGTATCTCTATTGATCCACAAACCAAAATTCAAAACAATTAAATTTAAACAATAAAAAAATTGACTTGAGATTCAAGAAAATATGCTAAACGCAAAAAAAAATATAAAATTTCCAAAATAATAAGATCGCTGTTTAAGAACAACACCCAACTTTGAATTAAAAAAAAATAAATCTCCTGAATCAATAAGCTTACTGGTTTGGGGAAACTTCTCAAAATTAAATATTTTAATGAAAAACCAAAAAGTCCCAAACAGAAAATCTTTTACAAAAAAAAATTAATCTCACAAGGTGTTACACGTTACTTTAGTTAATGAAAATATCTTTAACATATAATAATAAATTTCAATGAAAGAACAATCTTTCTCTCTTAAATATTCTTTTTTTTTTTTTTTTTTCCTTAATATAATCGAAGACAACAATTAAATCAGATCTGACCTTTTCCTCAAAATGATCTTCCAACTTCCTGGATTCCCAAAATTATTGACTGAGGTTGACCTCCAGCGAATTCCCTTCCAGATGGCAGATTTTTGAAGGAAGAAAACACTAGGTAAGGATGCTCAAAATATGGATTCGTTCCCAAACGTACTCAAAACTTATTTCCTTTTTAGATTTGCCGGATACAAAAAAAAAGCCACTTCAAGATGGCGATCGAATTTTCAATCGAACGTGTTTCGATAGAACTTTGATAATTTTCGATTGTCTCGAGACTAAACTTTGGATTGTCCCGAGACTAAAAGGCCTTAAGTTCGGCTAGGCCTAAATAAAGTCAACTTTAAAAAAAAATGTTTCCAACCGTGTAATTATTCTCCGGAAAAATTCCGATTGTTGAAGTAAAACAATTACTTTCAAACCCTGTGCCTGGTGATTAACTCCGCTACCGCGTAATTTGAATTTACGACCCAAACAAATTTCTCCAAAATTCCAAAATGTCGCAAAACCTATCAAATTTACATCACTCGTACACATTACACGCATGACTTCTCTACAGCGAAATCGAGAACCAGAGTGTCGTACTTCCGGACCGCTCTTAAAAAAACTCGAAAATTTCCAAAAAAAACTCCATCAAGACGTCACGTATTCTACTACGATGTTCAAATTATTACCGTAAATCCTCAATTACACTACTTTAAGTTTTGCGAATTGTACAAAATTATTTAAATAAAAATCTCAAACGTAATTACGACTCGATTATCGTGTCTAATACTTTAAAAATCCCAACAAATTTTAATTAATCTACCAATCTCAAAAATCACTCCCGCCCTCTATCCTAAAATAGCAACATTAAAAATTTACAAGGAAACAGGAATCCACCTTCCTTCTGGTTTATCGCTAGAATCAAACTCAAAAACAACAACATATACATAACCTCAACTCAAATCTCAAATCAATCAATCACCAAAGGATACCTTACATTTTACATAAACAAAGGATTAACTAGGAAAGCTAGGAAAAAGGATGGTAAAAAAAATACCGTAACATTCCCCTCTAACCTATATAAAAGAAATTTATGCAGTAAATTTCTGCTGTAAAAATACCTATAATTCTTCCGAATAACTGAGTTAACTACATTACCGATGCAACTGAATCTCAAAATTTAACTACTGTTCACCAACCCTTTCCTAACAAAATGACGTTACCATTACCATTACATGGCATCTTTATACGTCCCTACAAATTTAACAAAGGTAAGTACATAAACATCTTAATTACTTTACAACACATTTCCGCTTTACAGTTATTATAATTACTTAACACATTTCCACCATATACCACACTATACACTTATAAACTCTCCAAATGTAAATAAACTATATCACAGTTGTAGGTTGAGTTGGATATACCGATTCGTTCCAAGGATTCTTACCTTTCGCCGATTATACGGTGGTCAATTCTTCTGCCCGAGCCACAGGGCTAACTAATTTTACGTCGAATCTCGACATCTCTTTAGATGGTTGCTGTGCCAGTGACCTAATAAACGTTCTCCTTCGAGGTTTTCCAATTCGAAAATATCAGTGGTAATCCTCTTGTGAATTCGAAATGGTCCAACGAATTTCTCGGCCAACTTGGCATTAAATCCTTTCGATGCATCAGACAATTGGAAATTCCTTCTATAAACTTTTTCTCCTTCTTGGAAATTTGAAGGTACTTGTCTTAAATTATATCTATTAGTTGATCGTTCTCCACTTTCCTTTATTCTTCTATGCACTTCCTCATATAACTGATTAGTATGTTTAATTTGATGTTCTTTATTACTCACAGCCGTATTCCAACAATTTCGATGATCTTCTCCTCTAGTAACCATTTCCTGTTTAAAGTTAACAAAGTATGGTGAGCTTCCGGTTACCTCATTTCTTCCCGTACGTAACGCACATAAAATTTTTGGCAGATATTGATCCCACTTTCGATGATTATCGTTTACATATCCGATCAGCATAGTTTTTATGGTCCGATTAACTCTCTCTGTTGGATTTGCGCAAGCGTGATAGAATGGGGTGAACTGTTGTCGTACCGAATAACTTTTAAGAATTTTTTCAAACTCCTTTGCTCTAAATTGTACTCCATTATCGGAAATTATTACTTCTGGTACTCCAAAAATCAAAAACACATTTTCTTCCAAATGTTTAATTATCGCTGATGTCGTTGCTTGTCTCAACGCGAAAGCTAACGGAAACTTGCTAAATAAGTCCAGCACCACAAGAATATACGCATATCCACGACCACTACGGGGTAAAGGACCCATGACTACTCATATGTCCAGGTTTCTTAACTTGCTCAGGCTTAGATTTCTGACAGATCTGACACCCATTAACGTGTTTACGAACCTCATATTTCATCTTTGGCCAAAAATATTTTCTACAGATCTTCGAATAGGTTTTAAATATTCCAAGATGTCCTCCTTCGACAGGTGAATTATGAAAACGCTGCAAAATTTCTTCTCTCTCTCCCTTAGGTACTACATACTTCCAATGTTCATTATTATCAGTACCTTTCTTTCCTCCTTGAACATACTTCAATAACGTTTGACCTTCGAGTCGATAATTTCCAAAGTTCTGTGGTTGATGTTTTACCAAAAATTTAAGCTTTTCATACCAAGGATCACGTTTTATTTCTTTTTTGTTAATCATTAATTCTTCTACGACTACAGGTACCGTTCTGGACAATAAATCTGGGACCACATGATCTTTCCCTTTCCTGTGAACTATGGTGAAGGTATACTGTTGCAATCTCACGGTCCATCTAGCCAATCTACCACTAGGATTCTTTAGATTGTTCAACCATATCAATGAATAATGGTCTGTCACCACCTTAAAATGTGCTCCCTCCACGTAAGGTCTCAATTTTTCGATGGCCCACAAAACTGCTAAGCATTCCTTCTCCGTGGTCGAGAAGTTTCTTTCCTGCAATGTCAACGATCTACTGAGGTACGCTATTACTCGCTCTTCTCCTTCAATCACCTGACTCAACACGGCTCCTAAACCATAGTCTGAAGCATCAGTTTGCATGCTGAATTCCTCTCGAAAATCTGGACAAGAAAGAACCGGTGCAGTTATCAAATTTTCCTTAACTTGTGTCCAAGATTTCTCACAAGCCTCACTCCATATAAATTTTTGATTCTTACGAAGCAGATTCGATAAAGGTGCAATGATGGTAGAAAAATTGGGTACAAATCTACGATACCACGACGCAACTCCTAGCATGCGTCTCACTTCTTTAACTTTACGAGGTGTTGGTATTTCTAAGATGGCACTTACTTTTTCTGGATCGACCTGTAATCCATTTTTATCTACAACGTAGCCCAGATATTTAAGTGACTCTCTACAAAATTTACATTTATCTCGACTCAAGGTCAGTCCAGCTTTATTAATACGTCTTAAAACTTCAGTTAAGACTTCTAAGTGTTTTTCGAAAGTCGATGTCACTATAACAATATCGTCCAAGTACACGAAAACGTAGGGTTCCAAGTCCGTTCCAAGAACTGAGTCTATAAATCGTTGCCACGTTGCTGTTGAATTTGACAAGCCAAAAGGCATTCTTTTGAATTGGTACAACCCTCGATTAGGAATCGTAAAGGCAGTGTATTTCTTACTTCCCTCTTCCATTGGAATCTGCCAATACGCCGACTTAATGTCTAAGGATGTTAGGTATTTGGCATCTCTCAATCTATCCAATGTCCATGAAATTCTAGGTAAGAGGTATGCATCTCTTTCTGTCATTTGATTGACTTTACGATAATCCACACAAAATCTGTAACCACCTTCCTTTTTAGGTACTAACAATATCGGAGAAGCCCAGGGACTATCTGACCTTTCGATCACGTCCATACTTAACATCTCCTCGAGCTCCGCATCGATTACCTTCTGGATCGCTGGAGATACCGGATAATATCTCTGTTTCACTGGTGTTCCCTTTATCACAATCTTGTGTTCTACAGCGACTGCTTTTCCCAGGACATTCTCAGTTACCTTCTCGAAAATGCTTTCTATAACCTATTTTGCAACGTAAATTCTTCTTCTGACGTTAACGCCGATCTAGCGCATATCGAATTAATCTCTATTATAGGAGGTTTACTCGAAAATTCCCATTTTCCGTTGCGCAAGTCTGGAACGATGCCCATTGTCTTCCAAAAATTTGTTCCCAAGATAAGGGTATGTTGCAATCTGGGTATTAACAATACTTCAACCATCTTAACTTGTAACGAAGTTACATTTTTTTTTTTCTCTTCGAAAAATTTATAACATCCGAATATACTTCCCACATTACCCCGACCTCCTACAGTTTCCGCCCGATTTAGAGAAATCCAAAAAATTGATACCCTATTACCGCCCACTTATGCAACTTTATTCACATTTTCCTTAATTTCTTAATTTCCTTAATTAAACTCCAAATTTTCATATTAATTCACTTAAAACCGTTAAACCTTTTCCCGGAAACGTTTCCTGACCGAATTTTAAATAAACAAAAGCAATTAGTGGAAGTCGCCGAACGACGTAGTTACCGAAAAGCACATGGTTTCTGAAAATTATTATTTAAAATAATTAAATAACACCGCAACGAAGGAAAATACGAAGAAGTATCAGTAATCAGTGTGTTACTGTAAACAAGGCCGACCGTCCCGAGTGAGTTTCAGCAGCCAGCGAGCTACCGTTCAGCTACCGTACAGCGACTATTTTTTATGATGCCGAATTAGAAATCGTAGAACAATCAAACCGATTTCAAACAATTACTAGTATCATGAAATAACCGTTGAATGATTCTAAAGACGATCCGATTATGATTAACATGATTATTAACCAAAATCATCCCGCATCTTAATTAATTAATTTACTTCATTCCTGATGGTCATCCATGGAAAATACTACCCGTATAGGATTGCCCCGGACACCGCCCAACTGCTGAAGCTACTTTGTGTTGAAGTGCGCGTTCATTAATACTGATTAATCGAAGTTAACGTGAAACACGCGGTCGGGAAAACGTTTATGTAGGTAAGTGCCGTAAACGCTAACCGATTTTGTTAATTATATTTTTGTAAATTTCCACATAAACAAGGGTAT